TGAGAGCAAGGGAATTCAAGGTTAGGCCTTTGGGACTCTGTGGAGCTGAAATGTAAAGGAAGACTGTAATACTGCACATTAATTTCAGGCCTTGAATTACAATGTGGAAGCAAAAGAAATATTCAGGTCTAAGACTGGAGGAGGAAGGAGATGATACAAATTAGAGATGGATTGCATCTTGGGAATAGCATTCAAGTAAAGGGTTATCATTGATACAAGATGCAGAATATGACTACAAAACTTAGTCTGGTAGCAACACAGATGATGACTTGGCCACAATTCCTGGTTTAGATGGATGAGCTCATTCTAAAGTACCTTGGATAGATACCTCAGGGAGACTACAAATATATTCCCTGACTTAGACTAAAATTTCCTGGAAAACTGAGCAAAGCTGAGCTGCCATCAGGGTAAATATGTAGACCCGACCAAGTGGCTGACATAGGGCTGCCGATGAATGCACTCATATCACCAGTTCTTCCCCATTTCCTGAATAATAAAATATGAGCTCCCCAGTCTTTTGGTGAATGCCCATACAAACCAATTCCATTTACTTATCCTTAGCTTTTCTTTCTTTCCTACAAGAACCATCCCTGTCAAATCCCACCTTCTTCAACAAAGCTTTCCAAAATAACTAGGCTCACAGTGATGCTTATGGCAATTTCCAGCTGTATCCAGCTGTAGATACCAAATAAATGCTAATACCATCCTGGGAGTTGAGGATACAAAGAGATACAAAGAGAGATCTTGGCTTCATAGGGATATGGATCAAACTGAGGAGCAGGACACTTTCATAATTAAATCAGGACAATGCAAGATTGGACCAAGTAATGCATGGTGAAGGGTAAGAAGTAGAAAGGCAGAGAGGTAACTATACTGATGTATTTGTAATATAATTGGAGGTAGAGCAAAAGGAGCTATGATTTGTCTGCTCTGCCTCATTATATATCGTATAAAAGCAAAAATACCACCATCTGCTTTTCTATAGCCAGGTGGGGCCTAACATTGTTCCTTAGATTTCTGAGTGAATGACTGCACAATTATCTGATATGTTGATGTTTGCTTGGCCCTTTGGAGTCTTTCAAATATGCCTATTTCTGTTCTCTCATATCAGTAAATTTCAAATTAATTCATCTTAAAGGGTTTTATCACCCTTGGGAAATTTAGTATCACTAACCTAATATCCTACCTTCTCATGCTGGGAGGCAGGTATTATTACTGCCATAATTAAGACCATATTAATTAGATTTTTTTCAATCACGTGTATTTCATCAGACTTGAACACTAGGAGTTGGGTCATTCTCTATGTTGTGAGATAGAAAAGGCATAGGAAAAAGCCTCACTGACCCCTAAATATTGCACACAGCTGACTCCTATAGTACCTAACGTTGGAAACTGATCTAGTCTGATAATACAACAACTCTTGTCCATGCAGGAATTTTTTTGAATGTGAGTCCCTCTGGTATAGAAGTACATTGACACCGAGGACCACATGAGACTTTGGGGAGACATTCTGATATAAACCATAACATTCTGCCTCTGGTCCCCAAAAACTCATGTACATCCCTCTATGCAAAAGAGTTGTCAGATTCCTAACACTTTCAGCATTGCTAAAAAAGTACAAGTCCAAAGTCTCCTCTGAGACTTAAGGCAAACGCTTAGCTCTGAGCCTCTGTAGAAACTAAAAGAAAGTTAAATACTGTTGATATACAATGGCACAGAGGTAATGTTTTGTTTATGATGTATTAAAAGAGTTTTTCCTATGTACAGATGTTATACTGGGCATCATGGAGTTAACAATACTAATTATTCTCAGTCTCATCTTATAAGTACATCACTATCTGACTAGTTGGAGCATATCTGCAGTTACCTGGCTGTTCAGTGGATATTTACAGACTAACAGCACACAACTGACACTTATAAGTAATTGTGGAAAAAATATTTGGTTAGAAAGAGCTGGGATCCAGCCTAGATTTTGTCACTAAGTTGCTGTCTGACTTTGAGTACTACTTGTTCCCCAAGATTTTCCCTGGATCTGGTGTTCTCTGCTTGCCTTGGTGAACTCTAGCTGTAGGAAACATTCAGAATGCCAGCAATGACATCAAGGGACACCATGTCAGAACCTAGCACAGTGGCCAACACACAGTCATTGTCACCATACTGACTCCCAACTCTGTTCAAGGCTCAGAATTTGAGATGACTGTCTCCTAGAGCAGAGTGGGCAGAGCAGCAGAGGAGAACTGAAGAACTTCAAAGAGAAGGGGAAGTATAGATGAACTTAAAGAGAGACAGGATTTGGAGGAGTAAGATGGGAAGGACATGACAGGTGAGGAAATAACTATAAGAAAGGTTCAAATTAACACTGATTTGAGTGGTTTATATCAGACATAGTCCTTCGTATATGCTGGTATTAGATTCCTATTGAGAATATAAACCTGGGTGTGATGGCATGCACCTGTGATCTAGCACTCTGGGAGGCTGAGGCAGGAACATCACAAGTTAGAACCCAACCTGAGCAACTTAGGGACTTAACAATACCCTATCACAATACAACAACAAAAAAAGGCCTGTGAAAGCCCAGGATTCAATCACCAGTGTCCAAAAGAGGGAGAAGGAGGGAATGTCAGCAATCATGTTTTTAGGAATGATGACTTAGAGGTAAAGCTGGCATCATCACAGATATGCTCTCCTTCCCATGATTGCATTCCCATTTGCCATCCTAGGAAGAAAGGTGGAAGACTTGTTATGGAAGTACAGCAAGTTATTGAAAGCCTAGGATATTGGTCTTATGTTCCTGATAGCCCACTGGGTCCTTCTACTGTATGAGACAGGTCTGCTCAAATTCGAGGCATCTCTTGGGACTCAGATCACAGACTCAGAGGAAAAACTAACTATTCTCTTTTCACACTGTACTCTGGCCTTTGTTGTTCACTTATCTGTTTCATTTTTTTCAGACAGAGATTATGCCATATAGCAAGATGTTCTGTGAGCAAGACCTCTATTTTATATCCTACTCATGGTACCTCATCTAATCCTTCCTGGAACCCTGAGAAGTAAGCATTGGGCTATTTTTACAGATGAGGAAAAATGAGGCTCCATGAAGTTAAATGACCTACCCAAGTCCCCAGATCAGAAGTAGCTAGGCCTGGATTTGAACTCTGTAAACAGAGGCAGGACTAGGTGAGGCAAATGAAGCATGCAAAGCGCAAAGGTACAGCAGGTCCTGAAGCTGAGAGCTGAGGTGCTGATTTTGACCTGAATGAACCTGAGAGTCCTTTGCTTCACCATAGTTATTTCCCCACTCACAAGGCTGTCTGGCTTCAAAATTCAAACTATATGTTTCTCTCTCTCTCTCTCTCTCTCTCTCTCTCTCTCTCTCTCTC